GGGGACAAGACAGCTGCTGCAATTGGGACCAAAGAAACCAACCAACCTTCAGCTCCTAAAAAGCAGCCCAAGCAGTGACCAAGACAGCTCCATTTTGTTTGCTCTCATGCTTTGATCCATTTTGTTTGCTGTGATGCTTTGGTTTCTGCAATTGTTTGCTGTGATGCTTTGGAAAGCCATAGTCTGGACAGGGGCATGAAGATAGGGGGACAAGAGAGCTGCTGCAATTATAGATAACTGTGAAAAAAATTCTCTTAAAAACAGTTTTCTTTACTTATTATAGATAACTGTGAAAAAAATAGTGTAACACCAGCCTTCCGTGGACCCAGTTTACCCACGACCCAAGGGACCGGTAGGGTTACATAAACAGTCCGAGAACCGTCCGTTACAAAAACGTTAATGATTATTTAATAAGAAAATGGTTACGTTTAATTGATGGGACATTAATGACTATTTATTATGAAAACGTTTATGTTTAATTGGTGTAATAAATGCTAGGAGTTATATCCAAAACGTGAGTGATATAAATGCAGAGTAAAAGCGGAAGTAAATAAATAAGTCAAACGACAAATGGCGGGTTCATGCCCAAATGATTAATTAGTTAAATGTATTTAATTATTGAACTTGTCCATGCGCCGCCCATCTTCCCACCATCACTGTCCTCCAGGGTTAGCACCCGCACCGTCATGTCTACCTGCGTGTAGCAAAAAGAACTACACGCTCAGCATAAGCTGAGGAGTGAATCTAACAAAAGAACATTAAGTGATAACCCATATGGCTACACACATATTAATACCTGTACTTAACGTACGAAAAACCACATGTTTACTAACTGATTAATTTGCACTTGATGGGATATTTATACACATAACAAAATGAATAACAACCACATTGAATGTTGGTGTGATGTGGAACATACATGATGATGACGACCACATTGAATGTTGACATGACATGAAACATACATGATGACAATATGACTTGATGCATGACTTAAGCTATTAGGGACACCCCTGACTTAGTCTCACTTGACAGGATCACCCCTGCACTCCGGTAATGACCCGGGCTCGACAAAACGTCGCAAGTGAACTAGCAAAAACCAGGTGGTAGCCGTAGCCTGACTACCATGTACGTACACAAAGCCCACCTGATGAAAACCCGTTAGATCCCAAAGGTTCCTGGACGGGCCCACTGTAGTAGGCGCACGAAAGCCTGACCTCCCTACAGCGGTATGCACATGTTGATAAACCTAGGACATGTGACTAGAATGAACATGATGAATGCTTGATGTATTTACCTTTGGTCCACGCCAATAATATATCAAATAAATAACATACATAATGAAGATTAACATTTTATGCAAACACACAATCGGATTCTGAGTCAATATGGTCAACGGGGCTCGTTCTACAAACTGCCTGGAATTATGCCCGCGGAACGGTCGACCGTACCCTACCGGCGGTCGACCGTGACCTACGATCTGGGGACTGGAACACAGACGGTCCACCAGGGTCTTCCGTCGCGGCCGGCGGTCGACCGTCACGGTGGTGACCGTCGGAATGGCTGAGGGAAACGGTCCACCGTCTGTGGCGGCGGTCGACCGTCCCGAAGACAGTTTTCTGTCCTTGGCTCCGTTTTGATCCGTTTTGCAAACTTAACACCTTGATTCTTTTTAGAACAATAATGTAAACATTTATAAATATATTCTTAGTGATTCCTAGGCCAATTTATACGATTTTTACGCAGTGAACGTTTTGATGGCTAACCTACGAACATGCATAGATTCTACGTAGGTTGCGTACGATATTCCTATGAATATAACGACATAGATTATAACTAAATGTTCTAGAATTAGAGGGGACAACTACTCACCTCTAAACAATGTGTTGAAGCTACAAAGATAACGAGGAACGATGACTACGCTTTGCGCGAATGGACTAGCTCTCCTTCTCCTTCTTCACCTTCAACCGTGCACCCATCGGAGCTTCACCGGAGATTCCCCTGGGTTGCTGCTGCCTTAGCCGAATTGGGGGAGAGGAAGTGGGAGAGGAAGTGTGTGAGTTATGGAAGTGGGGGTTACAAATGTGTGATGAGTGAAGGGAGGGGAATGTATTCTATAATGAGGGACATTATGGTGAGTTAAGTGAAATAATGAGAGAATTGATTTGGGGAGTGGAAGAGATTGGCTGGACGTGTGAGTGATGGGGGTATAATTATTTATTTTACTCCGTTATGTTAAAATCTGACCTGAACGGTACGCGCTTTTTCCCCCAAATGGGTCTGAATTGAGATCCGTTTGCGTTTTCGGAATCAGACAGTCAAAACGAATTTAATGACATGTTCAAATAATTTTTCTAAGAACTTTATTTTCAAACTTCCGGGTCTATTCCAATCATTAATTAATTTATTTAATTAATGTTGAGAGGTCCGTTATTAAAACATCTTTTTATATTAAAATACATTAGCTTTGAAAAGCCATCTAATGAGATCAAAATCCCAATATTTAGTATTTAGAACAATGAGTCTCAATAAATAATTAATATTTATTTATTTAAAACTAGGCCGGTTTGTAGGGCGTTACAAATAGTGTGACACACACTACTTGTAATACAATACTATTTCTTATAAGTTTAAAAACAGTTATACATTGGGAAACCAGACTTCTGTTAAGAAATAGTATTCTTAACTAATTATTGACAACTGTGGCAATAAAAACTGTATTTTTTTACGAAACCGACTACTAATAATAGATGACCGTTTCTCACAGCTTCAAAAACAGTTCCACCCATAATTTATAGACTATTGTTCTAAAAGAGTCTTCTATTCCTATTATAAACAACAGTGGCAAAAAACCCATATGAAACAGACAACAAACGTTAGATAAATGTTTCTAATAAATTTAAAAACAGTTCTAGAATAACAACCCAGACTATTGTTTAAAAAGAGTATTCTTAACTTGTTATTGACAACTGTTGTAAGAAAAACTGTATCTTGAACCGAGACAGACAACTAATGATACATTACCGTTTCTCGAAACTTGAAAAATAGTTTTAAAGCATCGCAGCTAGACTACTGTTCTGTTCTTAAGGAAAACTAACAGTAGTCTGTTTTTTTTCAACTACTGTGTTTGCATAAACAGTAGTGAAACAACAATGGTCTGATGATGTTTTTGGCGTAGTGATGATAGAACCCAAACCACCAAAATATCCAAATGGACACTTAAACCACATTGTCCTTTCTCCTTTTTCCCTTCCAACCCCCCTGGCCGAAAATAAACAGCCCAAAAACCCCATGCCATAACCCATTCTTGTTCCCCATTGTACTCCCCAACTAGTCAGGCCAAACAATAGCTACAATCCAAAACATAAGGGTCCACAATCCCCACCAATCAACCAGCCAATGTACCCTCCATATTCCTCTCATAAAACCTCCAAAGTAGCCAGCCATTTTTCCTTATTCAAACCCCCCTCCCTGGCCAAATAATCCCCATCCAAAACCAGCCAAATAAGTGGGATACTTTCACATATAATTCTCCCCACTTATGGCCGAAAAACCCAACCCCACAAGTACACCCTTTCCTATTTTTGCTTCCCAATAAAAGTACATCAATAAGTGGCTATTATTCCATCTTTGATTTGTGTGAATAAGAGACTTGGTAGTCTCCCTTGTGTGTGTATGTATAAATTCGGCCATAGGCCTTGCATTTCAACACATTGTATTCTATTTTAAATCAAAGTGATTCACTTGTGTGTTTCATTCCAAATTCCTAATCCTATATCTTAAGAGTGGTTCTCTTGAGTGTGAGTTTTAGGTTCTAGTTATTTAAATAAGTGTGTTATATCTTATTTGAATGCTAGACTCAACCCCAAGTTAAGATAAGGGTGTGTAATATCCCTTAACACCAACTTGGCTTGTTCCCCTTCCCAAAGAAATACCTCTTTTCCTGTCCCGAGCTGCCAAATAATCGATTATCACTATTAGTAGTCGATTAACCACCCTTTGTGAAACACCTGCAGCCTTCAATAATCGATTATCACTCTCAGACAATCGATTATCAGCCTTCCCCAGAAACCTGCAACTTTCAATAATCGATTGACACCCCTCTGTCATTCGATTATCTCCCTTCTCAGAAAATCCCCAGAAAATTGCCCAAGAACCTGAAACCCTTAATAATCGATTATCCACTTAGGACAATCGATAATCTCCCCCTCCCTGCCATTAAAGAGATTGTGCCTATAAAAACCTGAACTTAGGTATAACACTTAGGCTATGTTTTAGGTGGTTTTGGCCTTTGGTGTATGAATGTAATGGAGGGGCAAATGTGGGGTTTAAGGGTGTGGTACCGTGCTGTGGTGGTTTTGAAGTGGGTTATTCGGCCAGGGGAGGTGAAAGGGAAAAGGGAGAAAGGACAATGTGGTTTAAGTGTTCATTTGAATGTTTTGGGGGTTTGGGGTTTTACCATGATGGTTCGGCCCTAGGGTGGGGCTGGGTTCAAGGATATTATGGCTATGTTGTGTGGCTTGTTAGTGATAAATTCAGCCCAAAAGAGATCATAACACTTAGCCATTATTCCATTGATTTGTTAAACGTCTTTAGAATCCTTGGTAGTAACCCGGGTATATCACAAGGTATGGGTCTTCGCAAGGTGGCACGTGTGACACCTCTTTACAAAGTGTTCTACATCACGTTCCATCTTTGGCCAAAATTAATGTTCTTTCATCATGAGATATGTCTTTTTGATTCCGAAATGTCCAGCTAGACCGCCGCCGTGGACTTCTTCGATGAAAGTCTCCCGAACACTACTTCTCGGAACACAAAGATGATTACCATGGAAGAGGTAACCGTCTTTGATGAGATAATCCCCATGTGGCCGAGATTGGCATAGGGCATACACTTCTTTGAAATCTTCATCTTGCTCGTACAATCATTGGAAACATTCAAAACCAAGAACTTAGGTACTAAGTACTGTTAGTAAAAAATGCCTTCTTGACAAGGCATCGGCTCCTTTGTTCATGACCCCATTCTTGTGTTTGATTGTAAATGTGAAGGTCTATGTACTCGACCCGTTTAGCATGGCAGGGTCGAAGTTTATGTTGTCCTTGAATGTACTTCAATGCCTCATGATCAGAATGGAGAATAAACTCCTTTCCCACGAGGTAATGTCTCCAATGTTTGAGGGAGCGAACTAGCGCGTAAAACTCCTTGTCATATGTGGAATAGCACCTCCTTGTCTCATTTAACTTTTCACTGAAGTATGAGACGGGATGTCCCTCTTGAGATAGGACAGCCCCAATGCCCACACCCGACGCATCGCATTCGACCTCAAAGAGCTTTTCAAAACTCGGAAGGGCCAAAACGGGTGGTTTCTTCAGAATTCATTCGGTATGCTGGTATATTGGGTAGGGAAGCCCTTGGGATAAGGTCGATTTTGTGTTGGATGTCACGTTTTGGGGGAAGTCCGTGGGGAATGTCTTCAGGGAAAACATGTGAAAATTTGTTGAGTATGGGTTGGGCAAGGTGATGAATTGGTTCGGATGGGGGTAGGGGTTCGGCTTCATCTTCTTCATAGAGGATGAGGTCTTTTTGGCTTTGGAGTTCTTGGTGTTCATATTGTAATATGGTGGAGAGTAGGATAGGTGGTTCTTCCATTTGAGGGGGTGAGGCTGTGGTTGTTGTAGGGGGAAGGGGGGTGAGGATGACCTTCTTTTTGTTGACCAGGAAGGAGTACGTGTTGGCGTACCCGTCATGAGTAACTCTTCGATTGAACAGCCAAGGTCGTCCCAACAAGATATGACACGCATCCATTGGGATGATGTCACACCATATGTCATCCACATAGCTTTTCCCTATGCTCAAGGAAACTAGAGCCACTAGATGGTATAAGGCCGAGGGTGTGGGGAGGCTTTCAACTTTAGCTTTTCTACCAACGTCTTTGATGCGACGTTGGTGCAACTTCTGCTGTCCACGATTAGTGAACACACCTTCTTTTGCACGGTACAACGGGTATGGAAGGTGTTCTCCCATTGCAACTGATCATCCGGGGCAGCCAAGTTGCTCAACGCTCTCCGAATGACTAAGAGCTCGCCTTCATCTACCCCAAGGCATTCTTCTTCCGCTACTTCATCAACCCAAGAGGGGCTGTCTTCTTCCTCTTCATACTCCACAATGGCCATAATCTTCTTGTTTGGGAATTTGTTGGCATAATGACCTATGCCTTGACAACGAAAGCATTTTGGAGCTCAGGTGTTGGGTAGGTTGGTTTTAGGGGGTCGCGGATTAGTGGAAGTGGAAGGGATGGAGTTGGGTTTGGAGGAGGGGGTTTGGGCCGTGGCATAGGGGGTGGTACGTGGTGTGGTTTGTGTGTTTTTTGAGAAGGGAGGGGGACGGCCAAAAGGGGTTTTGTTTCTTTTAAGTTGAGACTCAACCTTAAGAGCTAGTTTGGACAGTTCTTCAAAGGTGGCGTAGGTTTGTAACTCCACCACGTTGGCGATTTGGGTGTTAAGCCCAAACAAATAACACACCAATGTCTGCGAGTCATCCTCTTGGAGGTCACACATCATCAAAAGCTCTTCAAACTCCCGGTTATAGTCCTCCACTGTCCGGGTGCCTTGCCTTAGTTGTTGTAACCGGGTGAAGTTATCCCTCACATATTGTTCGGGTAAAAACTTCTTCTACATCAAGGCACGCATCTTTAGCCACGTCTTTACGGGAGCCTTACCTTCACGCCTTCTTTTGGTGGAGGTGTTGGTCCACCACGTTGACGCATATTTCCGAAGCTTAAGGGCAACCAACTTCACTTTCTTGTCTTCGGGCAAGTCTTTGAAGTCAAAGACATGCTCAACCGTCTCGAGCCACTCTAGAAACTCATCGGGGTCGTTCTTGTCTTCAAATGTCGGAAGATCAACCTTGAAGTCTGTGGTTCCTTTCTCATGAACGCTTCCTCCGGTGTTGGTGTTGGAATCTCCCGTAGGGTGTGTTTCCAGCTCTTGTTCTTCATCACTCTCTTCAGGGGTGTCCATCATCTTCAGCTTCATTTTGGTGAGTTGAGCCACTTGTTTTGCTAAGTACTCAACTTGAGCTTTTATGGCAGCGTTGGAGGCTTGAAGTTCTTCGTTGGTGAGGGTTTGGGATTGGTTTTACATGGTGATGAGAAATGAGGATAGGAGAGGTGGTGATTCTGGCCGAAATAGAAAGGAAAAAGAAAGGAGGAAGGGAAGTGTGTTATAGATCCTTAGGTTTGGAAGGGTAGGGGGTGTACTGGCCGAGTATATGGAGGAGGATGAAGGGTTTATTTTGAGATGGTTTAAAGGTATAAGAATAGGGGAGAAAAAAAAGGGGTGCTGGTTGTGCTTTAAGGGAGGGCGGAAATTTGGAAGGGAAAATAAGAGGGGAGAGGGATAAAAACCAAGTAGGTTTTAAGAGATATAACACACTCTTGTCCTCACTTGGGGTTTGAATCTAGAATTTAATTAAGATATTATGCACTCAATTAAATAACTAGAACCTAACACTCACACTTAAGGGAACCAACCTTAAGATATAGAAATTAGGATTTTAAAATAGCATACAACAAATGTATTACTACCAGAGATTGAAAAATGCAATGTATTTACAATGGGGGCTTGTGGCCGAAATATAAACAAGCATAAAGGGAGGAAAATGCTAAGCACCTTACTAATTCAAATCACTTAAAATAACATATATTTGTTTATGTCCTTATGTGGAATGAATTCAAAGGATATGGATGGGGATTTGAGGGGGAAAGTTTCGGCCATTAGTGTGGGATTTGGGACCAGGGAATAAAGGGGAATATTATGTGATATTTGAATGATTTTGAGAAGGACTTTTATTTGGAAGCTTTAGGAGACAAAAGGGGATGGATAATATGATGTAAAGGATTGGTGGTTGGGATGGGGTGTTTCGGCCCACCCACCTAGGGGCAAAGGGAGTGAATGAAATTAGGGTATTTTGGCATATTAATTTGGGGAGATTTGGTGGTTACAAGGTCAGATTGTGAGAAGTTTCCTTTGGTGTTTTATACCTTGGAATTTCGGCCACTATAGGAGACAAGGTAGGGCCATGTGTTGGTTGGTGTTGGGAGCATGATTTTGAGGTGTTTTGGCTTCTTGTTTTCGGCTCAAGGTTTAGGAAGGGATGGGCCGATTTTCAGGAGAGTTAATATGGTTTTTTGGTTGTTTATGTTAGCTAAAAAAGGTGGGATCATGTAGGGGAGGGGTGTGTGTGTTTGGCCACAAGAACCGAGAAAGAGAACAATAGGGTATGATTTTTGAAAAGGGTTTTGGGATTGACTTTTGGGGTGTTTTTTCGGCCAACTAAGGTGGGGATGGGACCAAGGTTATTATGGTTAGAACCCAACTCAAACCAGCCCTTTTCCTTCCTTAGCCACTGCCCATATTTACCTCAACACCTTCTCCACACCTCTACCCCAAAACTCCTTAAAACCCATCTGTACTTCTTCCTTGACTACTTCCAAAACTAACCCAACACCCCTTCCCATACCCCTGCCCAAAAAGTCCTCAAAACCCATCTATATTTGATATACCCCAGGATGCACCTTCACACACGCCACTAGTATTACAACAAGTCAATTGTTTTATGTATAGGTGTTATGATCCATTTTGGGTTGAACTCATTGACCCGTCCCACATTAAAGCCCGAACCATGACACTTCTCTCCCAAAACCCAATCTAGGCCGAAATGCCTACAAGCCCAACACACTCCCACATATCCAAAAGTTTTTCATTTGCCTTTATTAACCAAAATAAAGTCCTTCACCTCCCTTTGAAGCCATGGCCGAAAATCCAAGAGACAAGGACAAACAAAATTGCTTTGTGCGTGTTGTTTTCTTTCCTAATATTCCCTACTTTGAATAAAACCTTCCCCCACCTTTTCCTACTTCAAACCCACGAAAATACATCCCCTTTTGGCCTTAGAATCCATCCCCATCCATCCAAATCCATTACAAAACACAAAAGGCCAAATCAGGAGACAAGGATTAAACATGTCTTTTGTCTTGGTGTGAAAATCATTCAAAACCATCCCCCCACACATCCCTTTGTCCCATGGCCAAATTCCTCCCCCCAAATCATTTCTCACACCTATAATAAGGCCAAAGGAATAAACAATCAATCCCTTGATGTGTCACATACCTTACTTTGCATAAATGGACAAAAGGACACACTCCCTCACCCTACCCTTCACATGGACGAATTTCCCAACCCAAAGACAGCCCATTTCACCACCTTGAACCCCTTTTAGCCTTGATCAATGAGGACAACCTATGGAATCCATCAAATAGACATTATGCACTTGAATTGTAGGAAAGAGTGGTGAAGTTTCCTTACTGTTTTTCCCTATATATTTCGGCCTTATGGCCTTGTAAAATTCATTTCATTGTATTCCATTTCTTTACTCCTTGAAGTAATATTTGAGTTGGTGTGAAGCTAATTCTCTCAATTTCTTAATGAAATATCTCTGAAGTTGGCTACTTTTGAGTGTGTGTTAGGAGTCTATTTCATATAATAATAGTGAATATTATTGTGTGAAAAGAAACAGCCCCAAATAAAATAAGAGTGTGTTTATCTCTTATTCATTATTTGGTTTATCTTTATACAACAAAAAACCACAAAAGAATCCGCTCTTTCTCTCCCAATTTCGTCCATCCCCTTTCTCCCATTTAAACACTTCATTTCTATTTTCTTCATCAAAAACCACTCCAAAATATAGCTTTCCTCCTGCCCTTCATTCTGCCCTATCACCTCTCCCAAACAACCTTACTTTCTTCACCATTTCATACACAAATCCAACCTATTCTTCACCATATATTCCCCTCTATAATCTGCCCTTATTTATCAATAGTTTTTCCTAAGCTTGGGTACATCATTTGGTATCAAAGCTAGTTGTTGCTCATCTCTCAAGGACCTTACACACTTCCCCGAATCCCGCCCTAAATTCGGCCTAACCACATTCAGTACCTTTTCCAACTTCACCCATTTTCCTATCAACCATGTCAAACCAATCCAGAAGCATGTCTCATGAAGAACTCCTAGCCATAAACGCTGCCTTGCAAGCTCAAGTGGAATACCTAGCCAAAGAAGTGGCTAAGCTCATAAAGCAAAAGATGTGTAACACCCCAACCCGCGTAACCCGAACCAACGGGTTAGCGAACCGGGTTGGCACTAAGTTGATATTCGCATGCATAATTTTTTTTAAAAAAAATGGCCATTCAATCAATTATAAAATTCGTTCGTAGAGTTTTAACTAAACCCAAATTCATCAGAATAATTAAATAAATCCAAACGTCGCGGAAGCATAAGAAAACCAAAGTAACGTCCAACAGTCCATATAATCAAATAAAATAATGTAGTTTAATTATTAAAGTAAACAAGAGTCATCCACACCACACCACCACTTCACTGCCCTCCGGGTTGCCCATCCAAATCTGTGTTCCTACATGCGTGCAGTCAAACAACAACGACTACACGCTCAGCGAAACGCTGAGTGAAAGTATACCTAAGCCAGCATTAACTCACAGAATAGCACCACATTAACATACAATCGACAACAGCATGTGATCACGGAGAAAAATAGCTTTAATAAACATATTTATATTAACATATTCCATTTGAACATCATGTCCCTATTTTATTCCACATCAACTACTTTGAGTCATGGCACCCCAAGCGATGCTATAAAAGGGCCAGCTAAGAAACCCAAAGGAGATTCACTTTGGGCGGGTTGAAGCCCCTGTCCCTACGATGCCAGGACAGGTAGCGGACTTCCGTACGTACGTTTTTAAACCAAGACCACCGGGGGCCCCGCAATGGCCAATATCCTAACCATATCCTATTGGTGATTCAATCAGTCAATCCAATTCAGGTCCGCCTAATTATACTAGGTGGCCTAATTCCTATATATTATTCATAATCCAAAATTTTCACCAATAAGATCAATTTAATTTAAATCTCAGTTCACAATTCACAACAAATCACGTAGCGGCCTATCCGGGCCAAAGACCCACGATTACCGTCATGCATAATTAAATAACCCAAATTACAGTTAACCCAACTTACCTGCGCGGAATCGAGCCCAAGGAATCGATCCTCAAGCCCGCTGCCCCCGCCGGAGCAGTCCCCATCGTCGCCGGAACAACCCCGGCACCCCGCCGGTAGCCGCCCCGACAGCCCAAACTCGAATCCAGACCAAACAGCCCCGTTGGGTGGTTCACAGCAACCCGAACATTACATCAATTAACCCAAAGTAGTCCAATCACATCCATTTGCACCCAATTGAATCTAAATAGCCCAATTGAACCCGATTGAACCCGTTTGGAACCAATTGGATCCAATTAGGTCAAGCCCAAGCTGCTGCCTAGCACCGGCCAACTCCCCGCCGCCGTCGCTAGCGGGTCGCCGGAAGAGACGACGGAAACAGTCCCCCATGCACCAATTCCATAATTTCAACACAACAAATCACAAATTCTCAATCAAATCGCAAGATTATATGCTAAGGAAGTTCTAATCTATGAACTAACGCTAACGAAAGGTATAGAAACCACAAATCACCTCAAAAGTTGAAGAAATCGGATCGTAGATAGGAAGGGTTGGTCGTCGCTGCTCCTCGTCGGCCTGGCGCACCTGAACCGGAGCAGTAGAGAGAGAGAGAGAGACAGCCGTGGTCGGCGGTGCTCCCAGCAGCGTCCCTGGTCGGCGAAGATGAGCGAACGGACACAAGGTAACGGAAGAGAGAGAGAGAGAGAGAGAGAGAGAGACCAGTCGTGCGTTACGCGATTGTGTCTACTCTCCGTAACTCCTTGGTGTTTATTATATAATTAAATAAAATTAAGGTCTACTTTACACTACTTAATCACTAAGGATAAGTTTAACCCCAATTATCTGATTCGTCAATCGTATCTTGGACTCAATAGGTCTGATTCACGATCCGTTTGCGTGATCGGGTTTAGAACAGTGAGCTCTAGAACATAGGACAAACCCCCCATTACTTAAGGTAAATTAGAAAATGATCCTCATATTAACCGGCCTAATAATTGATTAATTGTATAAATTATTTTAAATACTAAGTCGGGTTTCGGGGCGTTACATTTCTCCCCCCCCCCTTAAAAGAATTTCGTCCTCGAAATTACCTGAGTCGTTATCGCTGAAAGGTGTGGATACTAAACCCTCATAGACTCCTCAGTCTTCCACATAGCTTCCTCTACGACATGGTTACGCCATAAGACTTTGACTAGAGGCACCCTCTTATTCCTCAACTCCTTCACTCTAGCATAGGCTCCTCCTCATAAGTCAAGTTATCGTCCAAAGTGATTGTTCTCTCGGGTAACCGATGGGTCGGATCTAGTCGGTAACGTCGCAACATAGAGACGTGAGACACGTTGTAAATCTTATTTAGTTCAGGGGTAGCTCCAACTAATACGCTACAAGACCAACTTCCGCCAGGAGGGTGGAAGATTGTGCTCATATTTAGCTTGGTACCCAAAGCTAGCTTGTTGAAGTCCCTTCAAAACTTTGAAATGAAACAAAGACCCCCATTGGAGATAATAGATACCAGCACTCCATGCAATCGAACAATCTCGCGAAGACACCATTCAACTAACTTTTGAAGCGACGTCCCCATGGAACAGGTAGAAAGAGTGCAGATTTTGTAAGACGATCCACACTGACCCATACAGCGTCGTAAGGGGTAAGCCAATTACGAAATCTCTCGTGATTCACCCATTTTCACTCGAGGATAGGAGGCGAATGTAACATTTTAGACGGTACTCAATGCTCGATCTTGACTTGCTGATAAGTCAAAACCGTGTTGTAAACTCAAAGATCTCTCCCTTCACAACGGGACACAATAATTTCCTTACAGGACATAGTAAATCTTATTAATACAGTTGTATGACGAAGATACTCCCAATTTAATTGATGTAGAATATTTGGAGAATACTACAGTGTTTCTCCCTGGAAAATTTGAATAACGAAGAAACGAGGAGAAGATGATACGACGAAGAGTGCTAACTAAATTGGTGGAAATCTGGTAAATGGACCTTTGACTTGGAAAGTATCACTCCGTGATGGTTTTACATTTACGGGTGGGAATTTCTTATTTTGTTATTAAAAGTTCTTTTATAAAATTACTGAACTGTAACATTTATTTTGATGACAACTTTTAAAACAAAACTCCCAACTCGACCAACTATATGTCACGGGTCACCCTTTTTGCGAGACCTACCCAACGATCCAGGATTCATGAGTTAACATTATTTCCACGTCCCCTCGTATTTTACTCGTTCACTTTAAAATCTTATAGGTCTTGGGATGAGCAATTCCCTAACTTCCGTAACTCAGATTCGCACGCGGAATACGCCATTGAACTCGTCTTGTCAGGGCTTTCAATTCAATTATGAATTTTTCCACCAAATTTAACTTTGAGAAATAATATATTTTTAGAACTGACATTTTTGTTGTTTTTTTATATTTTAATTTAAACAAAAATTAAAATTACGATTTGTTACATGTTTAAAACTAAATCCTAGGGTATACTTCACGGCATTACGTCTCACTTTTTTTTGAATACGACACGTATTTTCTCTTTTTTTTTTGTGTGTGCAAAATGATCATTTATCAAAAGTTCTCTAGTGAAAATGTTTAAGTGACTTAATCACTTCGCCGTTTACCTAAAAGATTAACACCCAATCTTAAAATAATTATTTTTTAATGAAAATAACAATTTACCTTGAATAAGATAACCTTTTACAAACTTTATTTCTTAACCCCCTTTTTGTAAAGAGGAAACGTATTATTTTTTTCTTCTTTCGTTACACATTACCTCATATTGTCATCCTCGTCTGACACCGAAATAAAACACCCTCATTCGTCCGAGTCTGCAGACCCTTCAGAATTTGGTTGTCATTTCAGTATTCAGCAATTCAATTGAATACTAGATAAAGTTTTTTTTTAATGATGCCACTAGGCCACCAATTTCACACCTTACCTTAGTGCTACAATATACCCTTTTCTCGCATGGATTGAACAAATTTAATTTCAAGCTTACCTAAAATTATTCTTGAAGTTACTTTATATAGTTTTTTTTTGCAGAGTCACTAACTACCACTTAAAATATTATCATCACCAATTTAAAAGAGCGTAGTTGAAACCCCTTTGCAATATTTTTTTTTCGAGCAACCCTCGTTAAGTTGATTCATATACACAATTTGTTTTTGTATTAATTAATAAGTTGTTAGAAAATTAATCTCACTAAAAGTATCATAATTATCAAAACTTTTTAATTCTTAAAAGTAACCTTTAGAAGCTACTTTCCTCAAATTTAATCTAACGTCGGTCTATTTCACTTATCTATTATATATATTTTTCTAAAGATAACTTATTAGATAGTAATCTCTCACATAGTCTAAATATATGGTAATTTTTTTTATATGGTAACTACTCGCAAACTTGTCTAACTCAAAATTCTTTCCTATGAACCACTGCTCAACATGATATTTATTATTAGCTGCGTAAGTTCATTAAGTAGCTTATAATTTATAAGTTTTTTTTCATTTGGTTCAAATTATGTGTATTCACCAAAATACTTTGGTTTAGAGTTAATCCTAATGGTTCAACCCATAATATTTGTTTTCATTTTCTTCGTTCAACAATTATTTGTTGGGAACATCTCATTCTAGACATGAGGTTTTACATACACTTTACAACATGGTGGTAGTTATAAATCTTCAACTGTGAGATGTTTTTTTTCTTTCAATATATAAAATTTAGCGAATTAGTTACATATCTTGTTATTCTCTTCTAGAATATTTACGTTTTGTGATTCATCCCATACTATTGAGCCACCTTGTAATTCAATATTAAGCATTAATTAGTCTTTGGTGGCGTGATGCTACAATTTTGAGAAAACTAATTATCTTTTGAGAGTCTCAGCACAACAAATTTAGTCTGAAATTAATCAAAAACAACTTCGAGGATAATTGTGAGTTATCCATTTCCCTCAAGTTGGCACCAGTCAGCTAAGTTCATATCTACATTCTTTTATACAACTTTTTTTCTCTTTCATATTTACATTCTTTATACGAACCAACTACTAGTATGTTAAATCCAACTCCGGTGGTTGAGATTTTCAACTATGACTATATTTTTTTAACTCTTACACATGTTATCAACATGTAATATAATATATTCTTTCTCACAATATAACATGATCGCACTAGTCGTCATGGATAGTTGTGGATTATGACTCAGGCTCGTTTGGTGAGTTTTGGAGATGTGATGAGCATAGTTATCAAGGCGTCGCCTAGGCGATGCTTAGGCGTCTGGGCGAGGCTATGTGGACGCCTAGTTGGTCGCCTAGCTTTTTTCTCCCTGGGCAACTTAGTGACTATCTCGGAGACGCATCTACATTTTAGAAGCGCAAGGGAACGCGCGAGATAGAGAGAGAAGACGGAGGAGAAGATAGAATGAAGACTTATCTTTCTCGCCTATCACTTGTCGCGGTCTGTAGAGGCTTTCTGTGTCTACAGCGGCTCCCTGTGTCTTTCTAACTCTCTATCTATCATTTAGACTAGTGGACTAGGTCAAATAACTGGGCTAGGTTCATTAAAAGACTATTGGACCTTTACACAAGAGTATAAGGCCCAAAATTTAATAGGCCTTTTAAAAGCTCCCTTTATTGGAGTAGGCTATATATATATATATATATATATATATATATATATATATATATATATATATATATATATATATATATATATATATATATATATATATATATATATATATATATATATATTGGAGGGGTTGTTGGCAGCAACAAACCAGCTTCTTCAGCAATGGTTCTGGGCGAAACATTTGGACACATCTTCTCTATATAAATCAAATGTGTTTAGCTTTGGAATTCATACTTTTTGTAAAAAGACTTGATGTTCTTCGCCTTGAGAGCCTTTAATAAAATTCTTTACCTTTAAAATATATATATATATATATATATATATATATATATATATATATATATATATATATATATATATTAACTGAAAATGCTTTTTTTATTTAATTATAATATGGGGAAGAGATACATCAAGTTTAATACAGCCTCTAACCATTCTAGGCAAACAACAAAAATGCCAGAATTCTCCAAAATGAGAGTAGAATATAGCAAATCTAGCCAAATGAAGAGCTGCTTGGTTGAAATCCCTTTGCACATATTTAAGAGTAAAGTCCTTCCCAGTTGAGATTTCCTTGAGAGTTTTGAGAAGCGGACTAATGCAAGTCTTATCCGATTTCAATGCATTCTCAATAGTCTTGCAATCTGTGTGAACAATCAAAGGAGCAGAGAATTTGTTCATGGCCCATTGAGAAGCTTTGACAACTGTTTCCAACTCCGCTGAGAAGATGTCCGTTGAGTTCAGCTCAATAGTAAGACCTGCTAAAAATAAACCTTTCCCATTTCGAAGAATGGCTTCCCCCGCAGCTTTTCCATTGATAATAGAAGAGTCCACATGAAGACAAATATTATTGTTAGGAAAGGTCCAAGAGATGTAAATAGCATTTACTTTCAGTGATTTCATGAAAATGGGAGCGAGGCCCAACGTAATTAAACAATCATCATTTTGAGCTAATTTTCCTCCTTCCAGGATGTTGCTCCAGAGATAAATGTCAAAGGAGATCCTTTGGATAGTCTTGGCAGAAACTGGGATCTCTCCTTCATGAATATAGCTATTAAAAGTTTTCCAAATGTTCCAACAAATGAAGCCTGGAATAATACCTATAAGTTTTTGCTTGAGTGTTTTATCATTAGACCGAAACCACCAGTGGAAAAGTGAAGATAGAACACCACTAGCCTGCATAGGGGGGATATCTAAAATAGAAGAAAAGTGGGTCCAGATCGTTTTACTCCAGGGGCAGTCAAAAAATGTATGAAATCCACTGATGATATTGTGTTTACAAAAAGGGCACATAGAAGGAAGGTGTAGATTAAACCTTTTCAGATTTTCAGGGAATGGAAGGCAGTGATTAATGAGCTTCCAGAGAAACATAGAGACTTTGCCGGGCTGTTTAGCTTGCCAAGTGTAAGTAGAGGACATGCAGTGTGTTTCACCCTCTTGAAGTAACTCAAAAACCTTTTTAATTTTAAACACTCCATTGGAACACATTACTTCCTGGACTTCATCATCATTAAGGTGACTCCACCTTTAATCAATGGTAACTAGAGTCTTCCATATTGGTGAGTATGCTTGATAGACTCTCCCTTGCAGACCCTTAGGATACCTTTTAAGTACAAAGTCCCTCCAAAGTGAGTCTCCAAATTTAAGTTCCCACCACAACTTAGTGTTAAAGGCTATTTGGAGTAGATCCAGTCCTCTAATGCCCAGACCACCAGCTTCTTTAGGTTTGCAAAGGAGGTCCCAATTTTTCCAGTGGTAGGCTTTATCCTTATTTCCAGCCTAGAAGAACCTTGCAAGCAAAGAGTGAATATGATGAATGACTCCCTTAGGTAGAGTACTTGATGACATATAATGAATTGGTATGCAACTCAGACATGTTTTATTAAAATTAGTCTACCCATGGAGCCAAGGTGTCTATTGTACCAAACATTGATCTTAGACTCGATATGGGAGATAAGCTCAGTACAATGTGCTCTTCTAGTAATCCCTTTATGGATCTTGCAACCCAGGTAATTGAAGGGAATGATCCCCTTTTTTATCCCAAGAATCTGCTCCATCCTTCTCCATCTGTTAGTAGGAATTTTCTTGGGAATATAAAACCTACTCTTGTCGAGGTTGATTCTCTATCCTGAGACTTTTCCATAATCATTCAAATATTTCCTCAGTTTAATTAAGTTAGGTATGGCTGCATTGGTAAATAAAAGCAGGTCATCGGCATAAGAGAGGTGATGGATATTCTGGAAATTTCTTCCCATTGTATATGGTTCTAGCCCTTTGACACAATATAAATGATTGATACTCCTCGAAAAACCCTCAGATGCAATATTGAAAAGTAAAGGAGATAATGGATCACCTTGTTTCAGCCCTCTAGAAGGAGAGAAGAATTTACTTTGAGTACCATTAATAAGGAGGCTAAGGTAGGCCTTTTTGGTGAAACGCATGAGAACAGAGATGGCAGCCCTTGAGAATCCAAAAAGGCACAGTACCTTCTCCAAATATGACCAAGAGACTCGATCAAAAGCTTTACTCATGTCTAGTTTAATTATCACGTTGCCTCCTCTCTTTCCTTCATCGATCCCGTTAATTAATTCTTTTGCCAGCAAAATGTGATGCTTAATTTCTTTCCCTTTCTGAAATGCCCCTTGTTCTCTCGAAATGATTTTAGGCAGGAGGGATGTAAGCCTTGTAGCTAGAATTTTTGTAATGATTTTGCTTGGAAAACTGGAAAGAGAAATGGGTCTGAAGTTCTTCCAGGATGAGGCATTGTCCACCTTGGGAATAAGTGTGATAAGAGTCTTACAAATGGATTTAGGTGGTGGAATGCCCAGAAAATATTCTTGGCAGCTAGAAGTGACATCTTCTTTAATTGTTTCCCAATAGGATCTAAAAAAGAAGCCATTGAAACCATCCCACCCAGCACAACTGTTGGGATCTAGAGCTAAAATAGCTTCCTTGACCTCTGTCTCATTAGGTAATCTAGTTAACATGTTATTATCCTCCTCAGATATGACTACTGGGATGGATTGGAGAAGGTCTGAATCTGTCAGAGTAGGTTCCTCATAAAAAGCCTTCTTAAAGAAAGAAAGTCCATCTGCAATAATGTCTTCTTGAGATTCCAGGAAATTATCATCCCCCTTACTGATATGGTTGATTAAAAGTCTCTTCCTTTTACCTTTGACATAGTTATGGAAGAAGCTAGTGTTTGCCTCCCCCTCCTTGATCCATTTGATATTAGCTTTTTGCCTCCAGAAGGAATCAATATTGTTAATGCACTTAGAATGCTTAGCCTTTTGGAGGTTCAAAGAAGATAGATTATCCGGGGATGGGTCAGAGGCAAAGAGGTTTTCAGCAGCCAAGAGATCCTTTTCACTCCTCTCAAAAGCTTGGAAAAGATTTCCATAGTTGTTGTAACTCCAGTGTTTGAGATCCTTGCTGAGCTCTTCCAGTTTGATCATCAAGCCCCTCATTCCTTTCCCATGGAAGGAGTTGTTCCAAGTCTGTTTAACCCTCTCATGGAAGGTCCTATCTTGCACCCAAAGATTGAGGAATCGAAAACGACTGGGGGTGCCATGAAGTGGTCCGTTGATGGTAAAAAGAAGAGGACAGTGGTCAGATGCTCCTCTTGCAAGGTGAACAAGATTGCGGTGAGGGAAGGAGCTAGAAAAAGACTCATTGTAAAGGACTTTGTCTAATTTCCGCCATACCCTCCCTCTAGATCTGATTCCAGTCTAGGTGAAAGGCCCGGAGAAGCTGCTTTCATGAAGCCCGCTGTCAGAAATACATTGTTGAAATCTTGCAATTTCTCTGAGATTGGGGTCACATTTCCCTTTATGCTCAGCCACTGAAGAGATTGCATTGAAGTCTCCACCTAGAAACCAAGGGATAGAGACAACCTTTCTTGCATAATCCACAATTTCAGCAAAAAGAGTGGTTCGGTTGACCTCATTGTGAGCACCATAGATACCAGAGATATGTATGAGGGTGGAAGTACTGCTGAGTTTAAATAGACAGTGGAGAACCTGACCCTTATCCTCATAAGAAACCAGGTTGAGGGAGTTCATCTTCCAAACAACCCAAATTTTATTTGAAATACTAGAGATAATCTGATCCATCCCCAGTCTGAGTTTGAAAAAATTCATCTTCTTTCTATTAACAATAGGTTCAAATATAAAGGCCACATCAACATTGTGATTCTTAATAAGCAGAGATAGCCTCTTCAACCGAGATTCTATCCCATAGACATTCCAGAAGATGGACTTAACCATGGAGGTGAGGAGGAAAGTCCAGAGGAAGCCTGGATCTTGTCCGGCTAGCTATAGGTTCAGTAACAAGGGTGGTTTCCCTGGTTTTCCTTGCCAAAATTTCACTATCAGAGAGTGATTCAGAGATATTTTCCACTGCGTGAAGATGATCATAGTCTGGAAGGTTAGAGCGTTCCAGAACCTGTGTTTCATCGGATTGAACCTCGGAGGTGCCCTTATCAGTCACCTTACCATCCACATCATCTGGCTCTTGGAGTGTCTCCTTCTTACCATCCACATCATCAGGCTTCTGAAGATCCTCCTCCTCAACAATAATCATATCATCTGTGGGTGGGGAGGAGTTCGGTGTGATAGAATTGTCCTTCTCACAAGGTGATGAAGTTCCTTGGGAGTGATTATTTATAGGGTTAACCTGAACTGAGGTGTTCTCCTGAGGTGCCTGCATATTCACAGCTGAGTTGGAGGGGTTAGCCTCAGGTTTGAAGCCACTTGTAGATGCTCCTTGTTTTGTCCCTTTCTTCTTGACAATTTGCCATTCACCTCGAGATTGGTTTTCTTTTTGTTCAGAAGCAGATTTCTGAGGGATTTGAGGGATATCACTCGAAACCCTTTTTCCAGCCTTCTTACAGTCGGAGTTGGAGTGGCCAGTTTTCTTGCAAACTGTACAAAAGGCTTTGAGTGCTTCATAAATAACCTCTTGAAAAATGTGCCTATCACCATCCAAAATATGAATCTTTTTAGGATTTTCTTTGGAGAGATCAAGTTCCACACATACCCGAGCCAGGGATGGCCTGCTAAAGGTAGCAGTTGCAGCATCAATAGTCATAGGTTGTCCAATCATGTTGGCAATAGACATTAGAGCAGACTTTTGATGAAGATGTATTGGTAATCCGGGCAGAGATATCCAAGTGGGCACAATTGGTGGGAGATTGGAGGGATCAAAATCATGTGTCCACTTGAAAATTTTCATCACAAAGCCTCTTATATTCCAATATCTCCTCATAAACAGACGGTTATAATCTGATTCCTTCATAAAATTGATAAGAACACATTTGTCATCTAGAAACCCAACCTGGAAATTTCCTTCGAATCCAATTGACTCGAGCGTAGCTTTGATCGTCTGGAAAGAGGGTCTTCCATCGTTAAAAACACCAACTAGTGCGAATTGAAATTTTGAAGATAAAACGTCAACCTCCTCCTGAGAGAAGGAGATTGAGGGCAAACCCTTGAACTTGGAAATTGGCTTTAGAGGAAGAGATGGGGATGGTATCTTAGGTGGTGAACCACCTTTGACAGCAGCGACGTAGGAGATGGGTCCATCGGAAACCACCTCGCCGGACGGGGAAGGGAGCATAGAGAGTTCCGCAACAGTTAGAAACGAAAAATTTATATATATATATATATAGGACAAACCCCCCATTACTTAAGGTATATTAGAAAATGATCCTCATATTAACCGGCCTAATAATTAATTAATTGTATAAATTATTTTAAATACTAAGCCGGGTTTCGGGGCATTACAAGATGTCCATCCTACGAGATAGTGAAGATGAAGAGGAAGCTGGTGCCACCATGAGAGCTAGGGCTCACGAAAAGTCCCATTCTGACTTCAAAGTTGATATTCCAATCTTTGAAGGAAAGAATGATCCAGATGAATTTCATGAGTGGTTAGAAACAGTGGAACGAGTCTTTGATTTCAAGGAAATCTCCGATGAGAAGAAGGTCAAGATCGTGGCCTTAAAGTTCCGAAAGTATGCCTCTACTTGGTGGACCAATACCACCACCAAAAAGGTCCGAAGTGAGAAGCCCCCCGTCGATTCTTGGCAAAAGATGAGGAGTCTTTTGAAGAAGACGTTCCTGCCCACCGAATACTCACGAGACAACTTTGCTAAGCTTCAAATGCTTAGGCAAGGTACAAAATCAGTGGAGGATTACACTCGGGAGTTCGAAGAGCTCTTGCTAAGGTGTGACTTGCAAGAGAACGAGGAGCAAACCTTTTTGAGGTACCTTTTCGATTTAAACACTCAAATAGCCAATACGGTGGAGCTGCAAAGCTACACTACTTTTGAAGAGCTTACTAAGTTGGCTCTCAAAGTTGAGGCTCAAATGAAGAAATCCAAAGCCATCCTCCCAAGAAACCAACCCACTTACTCACGCCCCACATACACCCCCTCCAAACACACCCCTACTGCCCACGGCCAAATCCCCAAACCCCAAACTCCATCTAAACCAAATCCTACTCCTCCCCCATCTAAAACAGCCCCTACAACCAACAAAAGAGCCCCCGTTTGTTACCGATGCCAAGGAACTGGTCACTACGCAAATGAGTGCCCAAACAAGAAAATAATGGCCTTGGTTGAGTATGACAATGAAGAGTACAATCCCGTGTGGGATGAAGAGGTAGCCGAGGAAGAGGAAGAAGAATGCATTGGCCCCGACGATGGAGAACTTTTGGTCATCCGAAGGACCCTAAGTGCCATACCATGTCCCGAAGAGCAATTACAACGGGAGAACATCTTCCACACCCGTTGTACCATCCAAAAGAAGGTGTGTTTGTTAATCATTGATAGCGGGAGCTGCTCTAATGTTGCCTCCAAAACAGTGGTGGAAAAGCTACATTTAAAGGTGTCCCCTCATCCTAAGCCTTACACCATTCAATGGTTAAACCAAGGTAAGGGATTACGAGTTGATACGAGGTGCTTGATCTCACTGAGCATCAGCAAGACTTACAAAGATGAAATTTGGTGCGATATCATTCCCATGGACGCATGCCGCCACGTCCTTTTGGGATGTCCTTGGTTGTTTGACAACAAAGTGCAGCATGATGGCTACTTGAACACTTATTCATTCCTTATAAATAAGAAGAAAATTACCCTCACTCCCTTACCCCCACCTTCCTCACCCATGGCCCAAACCAGCAACAACACTCCTCCTTCCCTCATCTCCACTATACTCCAATCCAGACACCATGAACTTGAAGGATTCAAGGATCTCATTCTCCTTGATCTTGAGATGGTCGAACCCACTGCCCCTCCCAAACAGCCCCATCCTCTAGCCATCCCCATCCTTGAACAATATGCCCACATCTTCCCCGAAGATGTACCACACGGTCTACCCCCGAAGAGAGATATCCAACACAAAATTGACCTCATTCCCGGGGCTGCCTTACCGAACAAACCAGCCTATAGAATTAATCCCGAAGAAACAAAGGAGATCCAACGTCAAGTGGATGAGTTGTTAGCAAAGGGTTTTGTTCATGAAAGCCTAAGTCCCTATGTTGTTCCGGCTTTGTTGGTACCAAAGAAAAATGGTACATGGAGAATGTGTTTTGATAGCGAAGCCATTAACAAGATCACCATCAAATATAGGTACCCCATACCTCGGCTCGAGGATATGCTGGACGAACTTCACGATTCGAAGGTTTTCTCCAAGATTGATCTTAGAAGCGGTTACCACCAAATCCGTATCTTCGAAGGTGACAAATGGAAGACCACCTTCAAAACAAAGTTTGGCCTCTACGAATGGTTGGTTATGCCATTCGGGCTGACCAATGCCCCGAGCACATTCATGCGGTTGATGAATCAAGTATTGAAGCCATATATAGGTCACTTTGTCGTAGTCTACTTTGACGACATATTGATCTATAGCAAGAGTGAAGAAGAGCACGTTAACCACCTCACCTTAGTGGTTAAGAGATTGGATGAAGAGAAGCTTTATGGGAACCTTGAGAAGAGCCAATTCTTCTCACAAGAAACTGAATTCTTGGGATATTTTATCTCAAGTGAAGGCATCAAGGTTGACAAGAGGAAAAAACAAGCCATGAGGGATTGGCCCATTCCCACGTCAATGCAGCAAGTACGGAGTTTCCATGGCCTCACATCATTCTACCAAAGATTTGTGCGAGACTTTAGCACCATCACCGCACCACTCAAGGACCTCACCAAAAATTAGAAGTTTGAATGGAATCCGAGAGCTCAACAAGCCTTCAAAACCATCAAAGAACGGTTGACACATGCCCCAATGTTAGCCTTGCCAAGCTTTGAGAAATTGTTCGAGGTTGAGTGCGATGCATCCGGAGTTGGGATAGGAGCCGTCCTCTCCTAAGAAGGCCACTCGGTGTCCTATTTCAGTGAGAAGTTGAATGATACGAGAAGGCGATATTCAACTTATGATAAGGAGTTCTACGCTCTTGTTCGGTCCTTAGAACATTGGCGTCATTTTTTGGTAAGAAAGGAGTTCATACTTCACTCCGATCATGAGGCTTTGAAGTATATTAAAGGACAACACAAGCTCCAACCCCGTCATGCCAAATGGGTCGAATACATACAAACCTTCAGCTTCACCATAAAGCACAAGAACAGAACTTTGAACAAAGGAGCTGATGCCCTCTCCCGGAGACACCTATTACTAACGGCCCTTAGTGCCAAAATTGTTGGTTTTGAATTTTTGCAGGAGCTATATAAGGAAGACGAAGACTTCAAAGACACATTCTTCAAGTGTCTTGTACGGCCCCATGGAGAGTTCCTCATCAAAGATGGTTATTTGTTTCACGGAAATCAATTGTGCATTCCAAAATGCAGCCTTCGAGAGACCCTCATTGAAGAAGTGCATGGAGGTGGACTTTCTGGTCACTTTGGCACCGAGAAGACCTACATGCTTATGCGAGAACACTATCATTGGCCGAAGATGGAACGCGACATGGAGCAGTACATCAAACGGTGCGCTGTTTGCCAAACCGCCAAGAGTCATTCACTAGCCCAAGGGAAATATCTTCCCCTCCCCATCCCCACGGCGCCATGGGAAGATATTAGCCTCGACTTCATCACGGGGCTGCCTAGGACACAACGAGGGAAGGACTCAATCATGGTCGTGGTAGATCGGTTCTCCAAGATGGCCCATTTCGTACCATGTCTAACAACACATGATGCTTCACAGATCGTTGACCTTTACTTCCGTGAGATCGTCAAGTTACATGGAATTCCCCGAAGCATGGTATCGGATCGAGATAGCAAGTTCCTTAGCCATTTTTGGATGACACTTTGGAGAAAGATGGGAACCAAGCTCAACTTTAGCACCTCTCACCACCCTCAAACTGACGGTCAAACAGAAGTGACGAACCGAACCCTTGGTACATTGCTACGGGTGCTAATCAAGAGGAATATAAGGCAATGGGAAGAGCTCCTACCCCATGCGGAGTTTGCATATAACCGGACACCAAGCAAAACAACTGGATTTTCTCCATTCATGGTGGTTTACGGCTCGAAGCCCCTTACCCACTTTGAACTTGATCCTATTCTGATAAAACAAATTTACAGTGCAGAAGCCGGGGAAAGAGCTAAGGATATTCAAGACCTTCATGCCAAGGTACGAGAGAAGATTGAAGCCACCAATGAAAGGGTGAGTACACGCATCAACAAGAGGAAATCTGCCATGTTCAAACCCAGAGACTTAGTTTGGGTTCACCTTAGAATAGAGTGTTTCCCCACGAAACGCAAGTCCAAGTTACTACCCCGAACAGACGGTCCCTTTGAAGTACTAGAAAAGATCAATGACAATACCTAAAAGATCAACCTTCCCTGAGAATATGGAGTCTCCGCCACGTTCAACATTGCTGACCTCAGTCCCTATTTTGAGCCAGAAGATATTCCGAGTTTGAGGTCAAACTCTTTTGAAGAAGGGGAGGATGATATACCCTGGGATGCACCTTCACACACGCAACTAGTATTACAACAAGTCAAGTGTTTAATGTCTAGGTGTTATGATCCATTTTGGGTTGAACTCATTGACCCATCCCACATTAAAGCCCGAACCATGACACTTCTCTCCCAAAACCCAACCTAGGCCGAAATGCCTACAAGCCCAACACACTCCCACATATCCAAAAGTTTCTTATTTTCCTTTATTAACCAAAATAAAGTCCTTCACCTCCCTTTGAAGCCATGGCCGAAAATCCAATAGACAAGGACAAACAAAATTGCTTTGTGTGTGTTGTTTTCTTTCCTAATATTCCCTACTTTGAATAAAACCTTCCCCCACCTTTTCCTACTTCAAACCCACGAAAATACATCCCCTTTTGGCCTTATAATCCATCCCCATCCATTACAAAACACAAAAGACCAAATCAGGAGATAAGGATTAAACATGTCTTTTGTCTTGGTGTGAAAATCATTAAAAACCATCCCCCCCCACACATCCCTTTGTCCCATGGCCGAATTCCTCCCCCTAAACATCCCCCCAAATCATTTCTCACACCTATAATAAGGCCAAAGGAATAAACAATCAATCCCTTGATGTGTCACATACCTTACTTTGCATAAATGGACAAAAAGACACACTTCCTCACCCTACCCTTCACATGGACGAATTTCCCAACCCAAAGACAGCCCATTTCACCACCTTGAACCCCTTTTAGCCTTGATCAATGAGGACCACCTATGGGATCCATCAAATAGACATTATGCACTTGAATTGTATGAAAGAGTGGTGAAGTTTCCTTGCTGTTTTTCCCTATATATTTCGGCCCTATGGCCTTGTAAAATTCATTTCATTGTATTCCATTTCTTTACTCCTTTAAGTAATATTTGAGTTGGTGTGAAGGTAATTCTCTCAATTTCCTAATGAAATATCTCTGAAGTTGGCTACTTTTGAGTGTGTGTTAGGAGTCTATTTCATATAATAATAGTGAATATTATTGTGTGAAAAGAAACAGCCCCAAATAAAATAAGAGTGTGTTTATCTCTTATTCATTATTTGGTTTATCCTTATACAACAAAAAACCACAAAAGAATCCCCTCTTTCTCTCCCAATTTCGTCCATCCCCTTTCCCCCATTTAAACACTTCATTTCTTCATCAAAAACCACTCCATAGTATAGCTTTCCTCCTGCCCTTCTTTCTGCCCTATCACGTCTCCCAAACAACCCTACTTTTTTCACCATTTCATACACAAATCCAACCTATTCTTCACCATATAATCCCCTCTATAATCTTCCCTTATTTATCCATAGTTTTTCCTAAGCTTGGGTACATCAATATTCCATCCCTAGCTACTGCCCAAAGTGATCCAAATACCCTTTTAGCACCCTACCCCAAAAGTCCTCACAAACTATCTCTTTTTCTTCCTTGAATACTGCCCAAATTAACCCGAAAACCTTGCCTCAAAACTTTCCTAAACTCATGTCTATAACCCCTCCACAAACTGCCCAAAACACCCCCAGAACCACCTTCACTTCCACCACTCAAAACCCCCACAAAACCATAGCCTCTCCACCAGATGCCATGGTCATACCCCCACCAAAAACCTGCCCATCTATTCCTAAGAATACCCATTGCTTCCATTGTCAAGAGATTGGTCATTATGCTTTTGAATGTCCAAGAAAGAATCAAAATCCCTTGGTCAAGAATGAAGAGAAATCAGAATCTTTGGGACAAAAGGAAGGACAAGAAGATGTTAAGTGTCTAGGCCAAGATGAAGATGAACTCCTTGTCATTGATAGGCCATTGACTAGTTTGGCCCATTCTCATACTCATTTGGCTAACCAAAAGGAGGATGGTCTGCTTATCACCATGAAAGGAAGTTATGTCAAGGTGATACCCAAAGCAATGGTTGTGGTGCTTCCCATCAATCCGGTGTGTTTCCCAAGATCATATTCAATCCACTGCCCAAACCAAGGAAAGCCGTGGGTATTTGATCCCATTGTTTCTCTTAATGGATATGAAGACACATGCTCATCCCTTATGAAGAAAAAGGAATTGACAAACGTATATGTGCCAACTATAAGCCCCATGTGTCGTCCTAAAGAAGAGAAAGACACTCGTTTAACTCCCCAAAAGTTTTACGGGAAGAAGACTCAAAGTGGAGTCATGAGCCATAATGCAGGAGCCTTGCCCCAAAGGTTATCTTCACTAACGGTACCTCGTACCAAGTTTGTTAAGTTTTTGCAGGGTCTAAGTAAGGAAGGAATACAAGAAACATCCGAGTTTTATTATAAGACTCGTGAAAAGCTTGAGAAGAGAAGTGAGTTGAAAAGTCCCACCCACTTTCAACCCGGCAATCTAGTGTGGGTCCATATTCAAAGAGAGCGTTTTTCTGAGAAACGCAAGTCAAGGCCCTATTGCCATTGTAAACACATCTTTGAATATTGAAAACCTTTTACTCTTTGAGTATTTATAAAATAGTGTGATGCTATTTTAGCCAAATTCCTAATTCTATATCTTAAGAGTGGTTATCTTAATTGGGAGTTTTAGGTTCTAGATAATTGATTGAGTGTGTAATATCTTGATTCAATACTAGAGTTCAACCCCAAGTTAATCTAGAGGTGAGCTTATCCTTTAGTATTAATTTGGCTCCAAATTAAGATAATAGTGTGTTTATCTCTTATTCCTTATTTGGAATTTATCCCATCCTTTCTAAACCCATCCTTCATCCCTGATTTTCCACTTTTCTTCATAACATCAAAACCCAAAAAGAACTCCTTCACTTTCCCATATTTTCATCCAGCCCATTTCCCCTTCATTATTCCACAATTCCATCTCCAAAAATAACAACTTGATAAGACCTGGGTTCACCCCTAACATCCGGGTTTGTCAGTATTAAGCTTGGATTTAAGGAACCAGCTCCTTGTTTTGCAAGAAGGGTGGATAATCGATTGTCCAAGTAGGATAATTGATTGTCAAGTGATTCAGTTTCTCAGGAGGAACTTCAGAAGTTTCAGGAGAGGTAAATAATCGATATACAAGAAGTGACAATCGACTATTGAAGCTGTAGATTTTCTGGGAAAGTGTGATAGTCGATTGTCTTAAAAGGGATAATCGATTGTTACTACTTGCGGGTGTTTCAAATGGAAGTGATAATCGGTTGTGGGGAATGATAATCGATTATGTGGCATTGAATCTGGTCAGAAAGAAGGGTGTNGATGGATAAACCAAGTTGGTGTTTAAGAGATATTACACACTCTTATCCTAACTTGGGGTTTGAATCTAGAATTTAATTAAGATATGACACACTTAATCAAATATCTAGAACCGAAAACCCACACTTAAAATAACCACTCTTAAGATATAGAATTAGGAATTTGGCTAAAATAGCATCACACTATTTTATAAATACTCAAAGAGTAAAAGGAATTTTAATATTCAAAAGATGTTCTACAATGGCAATAGCGCCTGAGTTTATATAGATAAATAAAGGAGACTATAAGGTCTCTTATTCACACAAATCAAAGGAAACACAAGAGCCACTCATTTATGTCCTTTGGGTGGGGGAAAATCAGAGATGGGGGGTGTGTTGTAGGGTCTTTAGTGAAGGTACATCAGGGGGGGAATGAATGGAATCTCCTTTGGTGATTTGGAGGGGCATATTTTGGCCAATGGGGAAGGGGTTGTGCAGGAAATGCCTGGTTTTTTTGGGGGCTTCTTGTGGCCATTTTATGGGGAACAAAGTGAGGTCTAATTGGTGGGATGGTGGGCCATTATGTTTTGGATCATAGTGGCTGTTTGTGTATACAAGTTGATGGACATAATGGGAAGCAAGGATGGGGTTATGGCATGGGTTTGGGGAGGGGTTTTGGCTGGGTATTTTCATCCAAGGCAGGAAAGGATCAAGAGCAAGGTGCATCTTTTATTAAAAGGATGAAAAGAAGGAAATAACAATAAACAAAAGGTTTATGGTTCATCTTCTACATATTTTCTGCCATGGGGTGGAAATAAGTGTAGGAAGACTTTATTTTTGAAAGGAAATAAAGAGCAAGGTGTTTTGGATGTTTAGAGTGGGTTTGGACATGGTTGGGGTGGCCAAGGGGGTTCAAAAACAACAAGGATGTTGGGTGGCATTCCTGAATGGAACAAATGATTGAAATCAACCCAATAACGATTATAACACTTAATCAAGAATCCCCTGATTTGTTGGAACACTTGTGGCACGTTCAAGAGTTTGGGTTGGGCATGCCCGGATATAACACGTACTCTCCATTTTTACCAAGCAAGCCCCTTCAAAGATCAAAAAGTTGACTTATGAACCATGGGTTGAGCTAAATATGCCCTTGTGCCCTCGCAAGAATGACACACCCGATCCCTCACCCCAAAATGGCAACCAAGAAATTTTGTTATCACTAACGCCCTTTGGTGCCAATATCTTTGTGTTTAATTTGTAGGGAAATCATGAAGGAATACAAGGAAGGGCAATCACTAACGTTAAGTTCCCAAAGAAGAATTCTTGGGTTTTCATTACTCAAGAACTAGGACAGGGTATGATTGGAGATTGTGATGTAAGCAAGTTTAACTCCAGCCCCGATGAAAAGCCTAAAGAAAACTTGAGTTTGAGGGCAAACTCTTTCGAAGAAGGGGAGGATGTAATATCCAGGGTCACCGCATCCAAGCTGCGAGACATAGTTCAAATGTTCAAGAAAACAAAGGAAGCCATGGCTAATGACTTTGCTCCTTTTTGGGTGGAAACCAGCCTTGAACTACAAGGCCCAGCCATAACCGCTTAGAGCCCCCATTTCCCATCTAAAACTGAACCACCCTCACCAAAAACCAAGTCCCAAAATATCCAAAAAAAACAAGGCTCAAAAATAACTCCATCTTTGTTCCCATAATTACACTTGTCCATCACCTGCATACACTCATCACCTTCTATCCGTATTTCTATCCTGAGAGTAACAATCTATTGTTGAACACTGAAAATTGACTAATGCACCCTCTTGAATTTCCGTGGCATCAACAGCAATGCCATATAATCGATTATCTGTTATTGATAATCAACTATCTGCCATCCCTGAAACTCCTGGGTTTAATAACACCATTCAATAATAACCAGCCCAAAAACTACATTATTACCTCCCCCTCTCCCCTTTACTCTTAGCCAAAAATCCCTGCCCAAAACCCATGCCATAATCTAATCCTTGTTCCCCATTATGTCCATCAACTTGGATACACAAACTGATAGGAACCAACTCCAAGGTAGAGAGGCACATAAGACAGCAAGGTAAAGGGAGGAAGTTATAAGGCTATATTGGTGAGGTTTTGTTCAAGGAATGGAGGATTTTAGGGAAGGAAAGACTAGGGACGAAAATTGGCAGTGGGGGAGGAAAATTTTTAGGCTTTTGTTTAAGTGGAGAAGTGGAGAGAAAGGTGATATTAAGGTGGTAGATGGGAGCAGGCCGAAAATAAGGGAGAAGAGAGGGTAAATAGCTGCTTAGTATTTTCTTTGGGATAGATAAACCAAGTTGGTGTTAAAGAGATATTACACACTCTTATCCTCACTGGGGTTCAGTCTAAATTTAATTAAGATATAACACACTTAACCAAATATCTAGACCTAACACTCACACTTAAGGAAACCAACCTTAAGATATAGAAATTATGATTTAAAATAACAAACACAATGGTTTATTACTTAGAAATGAAAGGAATACAATAATGTTCTCCAATGAGGCCTATGGCCGAAATTTAAACAAGCAAAAAAAGGAGAATTAATTAGCACCTTCCTAATTCAAATCACTGGAATATTATGCATTGATTGTGTCCTTTTTGTGGAATGAATTCAAAGGATATTGATGGATATTTGGAGGGGGATTTTTGGCCAGTAGTGAGGATTTTGAAACAAGGAAATAAAAGGATGATATTTGGATAATATTTGGGTGATTTGAGGAGGATGTTTTAAGCAGTGTTAAGGGACAAAGAGGGATGGCTATTAGGATGTCAAAAATGGGAGATGTGAGTGGGTTATTTTCGGCCCACTTGAGGAACCAAAAAGAGTGAAAGAAATGAGGTTATTTGGTTTATTATAGTTGGAACATTGTGGCTGTTATAAGGGGTGATATATATGCTGTTTGGGTAGGGAACAAAGGGGTCCATGTGTTGGGGTTTATAATGGGGAATGATATGGATTGTTTTTGTTTCTTGTTATTCGGCCAGGTCTTAGAAAAGAAAGGGGGGATATTTATGGGTTATTTGATGTATGTTTTATTTGATAAGGAATGATGTGGTTAAGGTGGGGTACGGCCATGGCTGAAATAGGAAGGAAAAAAATGGGGTATTGTTTTGGTGTTTTAGGGTGAGGACAATGGATTGTTAATGGGGGTGTTTTGGGGTGGGTTCGGCCTGGGATGAAAAGGAAGAAGAATGGAGTATGGTCTAGGGTATTTTAGGGCGAAGACAATTCCAAGGAAATTATGGTTAAGGGTTTGGGTTTAGGAAGGGTAAAATCATTCCAAAAAGGACCGTAAAATTTAGTCATTAATCCAGTAATTTGTTTAAGGACTTTTGTAGGTACCGGGGGTATATCACAAACAGGCATTATAATCCAAGACATAATGACCCACCATTACACCAATCAAACCTTACCTTGTTCCCCCATAAAACTACCCACAAGAAACCTCCAAAACAACCAGCTCCTTCCTGCACAATCCTTTCCCCTTTGGCAAAATAATCCAGCCATTCATTAATAAAATTGGCCTTCATTCACATGCTAAGCAACCCCACAATCCCAGGCACACATCTTTGATTTTTTTCCATTAAGGAGACAAGAATAAATGGGTATTATCCCATATTTTTGAAATAGTGGTTTCTAGGAAGTTTCCTTATGTCTACATTCAATGTATTGTGTTTTCCTTCCCCCTTCCCCTGCCTATGTAATCCGTCCATATGGCCATTGTAAGAAACAACTTTAAATATCAAAACCCCCTTTTACTCTTTAAGTATTTATAAAATAGTCTGATGTTATTTTAGATATTTGATTAAGTGTGTTATATCTTAATTAAATTCTAGATTCAAACCCCAAGTTAGGATAAGAGTGTGTAATATCTCTTAAGCACCAACTTGGTTTATCCACCCCTGATTTTCTTCCATTTCATACCTCCCCATTTCTCCTCTTAATCTTACTCTTTTCTTCCATTAAAATACCCAAAAGAACTCCCTCATCATCCCCCATATTTTCCCAGCCATTGCTCACCAAAACTACCTAAAATCGATTGTCACCCTTGGCTAAATCGATTATCATCTCACGTGAAAGATCTGCACCCATCAATAATCGATTTACACCATCTTGTAAATCGACTATTACCCCTTTCTAAAAAAATTTGCCAAAATCTCTCAAGAAACTGAACCCTCCAATAATCGATTATCCCTTCTGGACAATTGACTATAACCCCTCCTGCAAATTAAAGAGGCTTCGCTCCTCAACTTCAAGCTTATTATCAAAACACCCAGAGCGTAGATGTAACATTTGGTATCAGAGCTTCTTGTTCCTACATCCCAAAGGACCAAGAACACACTTCCACTCTTTCTCCTTTCCTTCATCCTAGCTACTGCCCTACCTTCATTATTTCACTTCCTAGTTCAAAACATGTCTCACACCTCCCAAAACATCGCCAAGATTTAGTTGCATCCAATGCTGAACTCAAAGCTCAAGTTGAGTATTTGGCCAAACACGTGGCTGAATTTACCAAGTTGAAAATGAGCATGGTCCAAACTCAAGATGAAAGCGATGATGAGCAAGAAGAAGACACCCGATTAGAAGTTCCTTCTCCCACCATGAGAAGAAACAACCAAGAGAAGTCTTCCTCTGACTTCAAGGTTGAAATGCCAACCTTCGATGGAAAAGATGACCCAGATGATTTCATCGAATGGTTAGATATGATTGAACGCGTCTTTGACTATACCGAAGTGCCGGATGAAAAAAAGGTCAAGCTTGTGGCCTTAAAATTCAGAGGCTACGCATCCATGTGGTGGACTAACACTACCACCAAGCGCGAAAGAGAAGGCAAGGCTGCTGTTAAAACATGGACCAAGATGAGGGCTTTATTGAAGAAGAAGTTCATTCCCACTCATTATATGAGGGAAAACTTTGCTAGGCTTCAACATCTAAGGCAAGGAAATCAGTCTGTAGCATAATACAATCGAGAGTTTGAAGAACTCTTGATGCGGTGTGATCTCCAAGAGAATGACTCGCAAACTTTTGTGAGATATCTCTTTGGCATAAACACCCAATTCGCCAACACCATGGAGCTGCAAACCTTTAAGAGCCTTGAAGAGTTAACCAAGTTAGCACATAAAGTGGAAGCTCAACTCAAGAAGGGCAAATCTTCTTTGAGCTGTGGCACTCCCAATCACATCAAATTCCACCTCCCTTGATGCCCAAAACCACACAACCCCTTCCCCTCAAAATTCTAAAACCGTGCACCCTATTTCCTCACAGAGTGCTCCTAATCTTTCAAAACCAAGTTCATCAAATAGCCGAATGCAAAAATGTTTTTGTTGTCAAGGCATTGGTCATTATGCTAGTGACTGTCCAAACAAGAAGATCATGGCTATTGTCGAATGTGAAGAAGAAGAAATAAATCCATTTTGGGTTCAAGGAGAGCGGAACGAAGAAGAAGAAATCGTCGGCCCCAATGAAGGTGAACTTTTGGTCATTCAAAAGACCATTAGTCATGCGGTTGCCCAGGATAATACCACACACCGAGAGAGTATTTTTCATACTCGATGCACCATTCAAAAAAAAGGTGTGTTCGATGATCATCGATAGTGGAAGCAGTGCCAATGTTATCTCCAGAACAACAGTGGAAAAACTCAATCTAGAGACATTGCCACACCCGGAGCCTTATGAGATTCAATGGTTGAATCTTGATGATGGAGTACATGTGAATACACGTAGCTTGATTTCTTTTAGCATCTGTCAGTCTTATCAAATGAAGTTTGGTGTGACGTTATCCCCATGAAAGCTTGTCATCTCCTTCTTGGGAGGCCATGGCTATTCGATCGGAGAGTTATCTACGATGGGTTTGCTAACACATACTCATTCGTGGTGAATGCTAAGAAATTTACCCTTTATCCTGTTAGAATAGAGTTGTTTTCAAGAATGTTCGTTTTTCGCGTGTGTGAAATAATAAAATCGCAGGAATAAATAAAAGGAGTAAGGGAAAGAAGAACACCAAGATTTATACTGGTTCACCACCTCGTGGCTAGTCCAGTCCTCCGAGAGACTCTCTCGAAAGTCCTACTAATCTTCAAGCTTCAACGGGTGCTTGAAAAACCGGTACAACTTGAGAACTTGAATCACACAGGCCTCACTTTCTTACAACAACAAGACTTGAGTCACACAAGTCTTAAGAACAACACTCAAAAGAGATTGAGTTTACAACACAAGAATGAAGGCTCACACAATTGAGCAAAGTAGTGTTGAAGAATTAAAGCTCTATGGATGACAAAATCTTTAGCACTCAATAAAATATTTCTAACTCTCAAAATAATATATTTGATGAGGAAGATGGAAGCAAGAATTGAATATTGATCAATGAAGATATTGGAGTGCAAGAGATGTGTTTTTAATGAGGGAGGATGAGTGTTTTTATAGGGGAAAAAGAAATAAATCCGTTGGAAGTAGGGAAGGCTGAAGTTGACAGAAAAAAAACCGTTGGGGATCAATCCAAGGGAGAGGATCGATCACCTGGAGTAATGGATCGAAAATTAATTTCTGTCAAAACTTCGGATGATCGATCCAAGGAAAAGGATCGATCCAAAGGGACCAAAAATCCGGAAAAGAATTTTTGAAAGCCTTCGGCGGATCGATCCAAAGAGGTGGATCGATCCTAGTCCCTGAGCGCAAAACAAGATGATCGATCCTAACAGATGGATCGATCCAATGACGAACAGCCCTCAAACATGAGGACCCAAGACATGTGTGCGAGTTGAGTGATTATTTTGGAGCTTAATGACTTGTTTTGGACAAGAATTTGAATATGATAAGGCTCCCATAAACAAACAATTTGTTTGTGCAAAAATTATTGTCATCCTTACAAGAATTCCTAGACTCAATAAAAATAAAAAGTCTTCAGAGTCTTAACTTCACTTCAAAAATCTGCGTAGGGGTGAGCGTTGAATTTTATCCCGTAACTTTCTTGATACGCCTCTTTTCTTTTCTCGGTACGAAAAATAAATTTTCGATTATCGTTTGAATTTCATCATCCTGTTTGTCATTTATAAAAACAAAAAATATTCCAGAAAAATAATAAAGGGGTTTGAACTCATGTCCAACAATTTCCCCCTTTTTGATAATGACAAACATAGTTGAGAAAAAGCAACGTATAATTCAAGAAATACTTTCCTTAATAGATTCCCCCTGCAAGGTTAGAAAAATGCAGTAAAAATAATCGGAGTAATAAGCGGAAAGAAAAAGAAAATAATTTTGAAAAACCAAGTTTTCTCAACTATCCTTCCTTCCCCTTTTTGGCATTATCAACCGATAACCTTCCCCCTTAATTGATGCCGGGATTTTGAAGGATAGTAAAAAAAATGGCAAGAGTTTTCTTTTAAAAAAAAATGCCACAAAGGGAGAATATGTTCTAAACAAGAGCAATATTGCCAACCCAACAAGGATATCAAAACACAATCATAATTAATAATAACTAGCATCATTCAAGGAACATCATCATCCACCAAAAGAGTCATAATAACAATAACATCTAACAATGTGTCATAAAAGTCATCACATAAAGAGAGAGAGAAGTCAAAGTGAGCTCGACGGCCGGGATCCACCACTGTAACTGTGACGCAGTCCGAAATATGGTCGTCGCTCTATCTCCGTCATCCGCTGCTCAAGCCGTGAGAGACGATGGCCTTGCATGGTTACTTCCATGCGAGTATGCGCCACATCTGTGCGAGTGCAAGTCACGGCGTCTAAAATCCGTTGAAGGATGGAACGATCAGCGCGGCGCGATGAAGTAGAGCGTGACACCCGAGTAGGAGAGGAACGCCGAGTCGATTCCACTTGAGCGACTTCTTGGACATGCGTCGGTTCGCCCTCCGGGTCATGTTCTTCTTCACCCTCTTCTTCTCCTTCTTCTCCTTCTTCTTCTTCTCCTCCTTCTTCTCCTCCTTCTTCTTGCACGGCCCTTGGTACATTAGAGCGGTTGAAGGCTGCGACATCGATGTACCACGTGTGGTTCATTTGGACGTGGATGTCTTTTAAAGGCACTCCAAAAGCTCTCAAAATGTTCATGATCGGGAACACATACCCAAGAGACCCTTTTGTCTTCATGAGAATAAGGTTATTGCAAAAGAATTTTGTCCAATTGATTTTGATATCGTTCAAAAACACGAAGAGAAGACGAGTGTCCGAAATAAAGATTTTGGAATGGCTCGACTTACGAGGAGCTAATACTTTCGAAATGAAGTAATGAAGAATTCGAAAATGAGGCTTAAGGCCTCCAACGGTTAGGCGTTCACGCCCAAGGACTTCTTCAAGGCACACATCGGTAATGGTGTCATAAGAGGAAAAGTTTTTGAATTCCTTAGATGCAAACTTGTGAAAATCACAACCCTCAAAAGAAAATTTAAAAAGTTCACCGATATCCTTGAGAGTCATCTCAATATCGGTGCCATTAACGGAGGTTTTGAGGACCCGTCCGTTGAAAGTGAGATTTGTATAGAACAACCGAATTAGATTCGGACAGAACACAGGAAAATTCTCACGAACAAAAGAAGTAACACCAAGTCTATCAATGAAAATGGTAGCATCTTGGAAAGGTAGATGACAAAATACGGTATGAAGAACGCATTTGGGTGTCAAAATAGGACGATTCAAGAAATCATTATAGAAGAGGCGTTTAGAATCACCTCTCGGAAAGACAAATGAAGAGACAAATCGTTCCTCTTGGGTAGATGGTTCACCTTCATGAGATTTTGTGCGCAAACGTTTATTTCCTCGACGATCCGACATGGTGGCTAGGGTTTGAGCATGAGAAGAACGAGAAACCCTAAGAGAGAAAGGAAAAAGCACTTAATCTCAAGTAAACAATCAAATAAGCAACAATAATTATCAATTAGCAACAATTAACAAGTAATTTGGATGAAATTGAAGATACGAGGCGACGAACAAACCTGGGAATCGAGGAACCTTGGTCGCCGAAAGAGAGACACAGGAGCAGAAACCAGAGACGATGGAAAAATGGTAAAAACGAAGAAGGGAGAGTATATATACCGTAAGTCAGGGTGATCAATCCATCCAAGGAGATCGATCCTCCGTAAAAGAGTACCTGCGCCTTTTAAGTCCAGGTGATCGATCCCTATGCTTGGATCGATTCGCCGAAACAGATCCTGGAACCAAATAAAACCATGGATCGATCCATAAGCCTGGATCGGTCCTCCTGACGTTGGGCTGAATACAGATTTGATTATTTCGCCGAGGTGATCGGTCCATTTGGTGGATCGATCTGCCGAAGAAAACTTGTGAAAGAGAAAGGCCCAATGGATCGATCCTATATCCGGGATCGATCCGCCGAAGTTTAATTTGAAAAAGCTTCGGTTTGGGTGATCGATTCAATTGGGGAGATCGATCTCCTCTGTTCCAGTTTCGAAAACTGCCCTAAAACACTGAAAATATACCCTGCAAAAAAGAATTATTGCGCCTCCGACGCTCAAATTAGTACCATCAATAAAAAGAATAAATTAGTTCATAGAGATATCCAAAATGCCAAGTTCATTCCGAATGTGAAAGAAACTCTCCCTACTAAGGGGTTTCGTGAAAATGTCCGCCAATTGATGTTTCGTTTCAACAAACTCAATTGTGACATCTCCCTTTTGGACATGATCTCGTATGAAGTGATGCCTAATTTCTATGTGTTTAGTCCGCGAGTGAAGAACGGGGTTCTTCGTTAGACTAATAGCACTCATATTGTCACACCTAATTGGGATGTGATCAAGTATAAGGCCGAAATCCACTAGTTGCTGTTTTAGCCAAAGAATTTGGGCACAACAACTTCCCGCAGCGACATATTCCGCTTCGGTGGTGGAGAGTGCAACACTAACCTGCTTCTTACTAAACCACGAGATTAACGAATGACCGAATAAGTGGCAAGTACCGCTGGTACTTTTCCTATC